GAGGCAGACCAGTGTTGCATCTCTTGTTAGTTAAGAATACCGAAAACAGAAGCTGATTGTAGGTGAAGCAGCTAAACAAAGGCCTTTTACTGAATTTGCATTTGAGGGTCTATTTTTCCCTAATAAACTGCATAATGTCATAAGTTTATTTTCACTGACCCCACATAATTTAGATTTTGAGACATTCAGGGGGTCCAAGAGGTTAACTAGGGGGTCTTGAACCCCCCCAAAATGCCCCCATTTTTCTCACAGTGCAAGTGAAACACAGCCCTACGGACAGCTCTGTCTACAGACAATTTTCAATAAAGCTGTTTCATGCAAAACAACACATAATAAGACAAATTAAAAAAAAATCAATATATTAATATTTGTACCTTACTAATCTGTTCAGTCAAAGTAAAGTCGGCATGTACGGACTATAGTTCGTCAAGGTTTTTGCCTCCGTTTTGCTAGCCTATGTGTGTTTAGGTTAAATGGTTGTGATTGCTTCAAAATGGGTTAAATCCCACACTGTATGCCTGGCAGGAATATGCCAGGGCAGAATGCTTAAAGTGACCAATGACTTTGGGTCTGACTGCCATAGTGCCAGCAGTGCTTCGCTGTGTGAACAGATCCTCATTCACTGCCAGCTTCAGTCATTTGCTAATTAGCATGGCAATGTATACAGTAGGCTTACATCACATGGTATCAGGTGATATCAGATGTTGGTATCCATTTTATGGATATGGAGTCTGAGTATGAGTAAATGAGCGAGCACCGTACTGGGTGAAAACCCGATACCAGGAGTGATACTGATGCATCCCTTATGTCAGCAGTTGTTTGAGTTTTTGTTTCTGAGATGATTCCTGTTGCAAGAATGCTAACATTTCTTTTGAGATATTTCTGCAGTGTTTTTGAAGACTCAACGTCCTTCAGTGATAAACAAATTCACCATTGCAGTAGCTGCAAATAACTGACAGTAGGTGAAGGCCGTCTTTCACTTATCTTTCAAAAGCTGTAGTTGAATGAGGGGATCTATAGTTGCATAACCATGGCAACAGCATGTGAGCAGCTGGGCTTCAGGCTGAAACTACTGATGATTCAATTGTCAAACTATGAAAAATAGTTAATGGCGTTAAAAAAAAAAATAGAAGTCATAATAATGTATCACAATAACTCATTATTAACACATTAATTTTGACACCACTAATATACACTGATTTATATATTAATTATGTACATCACTTCAACTACTGTTTTGTTAAATATGCTTCACAAATACTTTGCACACACAGATACACACTCACACTGCAGGAACGGAGAGGGGACACAGAAGGGATCGGAAGTGGGTAGGTGAGGTCATGGCTCTGATTGAGCTGAGCTGGTAGGGAAAGCTCCGGCAGCAGGCTCAGATGTTTTCCAATCGATCAGGACGACCTTGTCTGGCCTGCAGGTGTCATTTCAGCTCCGCAGCACAGAGACTTCGGAGTGCTTCAGTAAGAGATGAGCGCCAGTCTGGCACCGACACTGCAGTGTCATCGCACCCACAGAAAATAAAAAAAAAGCATGACAAGAGCCCTCTGCCATCATCTCGCCGGGATCTTTCAGTATTTCAGTCTTCTTATGGAGGTCAAATGGAGGTGAGCAATGCAATCTGGAAGCTAGAACTCAGAGAACTGATAAGAACGCCTGTGGAGCAGATCTACAAGCACATTCCAAGTAGTTTTGAAATCGTTCTGTTATCTTACGAGAGATATGGGCACATCTACACTACTGCAAATAAAATTCCATACTATGAATACAAGATAGATTAACTGTGTAGGCTGTGAGTCAGAGACGGTTCTGGTATTGATTTTTTTTTTTGGGGACCACCAGCAATGCTTGTTTTACATGAGATGGCAGAAATCCTTAACCAAAGACTAATAAATGAGGACATTATTAAATACATTTATAAAACTACTACTTTTATAGTCTCATTTTAAATATTTTCAATCATGTATTTATTTTTTATACTAGAATAAACCTCAGACCTTACTGTCCTTACTGACTCCAAATAGGCTATGTGCCTAAATATTTGTAGATTTTGGTAGAAGAAAGTAGGTCAAAACTTAACTTACCTTGGCAACCAGCTACAATAACATAGCAATGGCCTAGTAACACTTTAGCAACTTTCCTCTTCTAGTTAATTCAACACAGTCTCTGTTGTTTGAACCAGACAAGCTTTCCCACTTAAATACATACATATACACCGATCAGGCATAACATTATGCTCATTGTCCATTTTATCAGCTCCACTTACTATATAGGTGCACTTTGTAGTTCTACAGTTACAGACTGTAGTCCATCTGTTTCTCTGCATACTTTGTTAGCCCCCTTTTACCCTGTTCTTCAGTGGTCAGGACCCCCAGGTATTATTCGGGTGGTGGATCATTCTCAGCACTGCAGTAACACTGATGTGGTGGTGGTGTGTTAGTGTGTGTTGCGCTGGTCTGAGTGGATCAGACACAGCAGTGCTGCTGGAGTTTTTAAACACCTCAGTGTCACTGCTGGACTGAGAATTGTCCACCAACCAAAAATATCCAGCCAACAGCGTCTTGTGGGCAGCGTCCTGTGACCACTGATGAAGGACTAGATAATTAGCTCATACTGTACAGCAAGAGATGAGTGGACAGAGAGTGGACACAGTGTTTAAAAACTCCAGCAGCATTGCTGTGTCTGATCCACTCGTACCAGCACAACACACACTAACATACCACCACCATGTCAGTGTTACTGCAGTGCTGAGAATGATCCACCAGCCAAATAGTACCTGTTCTATGAGGCTCAGTGGGGGTCCATGGGGGTCCTGACCACTGAAGAACAGGGTAAAAGGGGGCTAACAAAGTATGCAGAGAAACAGATGGACTACAGTCTGTAATTGTAAAACTACAAACTGCACCTGTATAGTAAGAGGAGCTGATAAAATGGACAATGAGCGTAGAGACAAGGAGTTGGTCATAATGTTATGCCTGGTTGGTGTATATTTCTCAAAATAAATATATGATGATGATTAATCATATATGATTATAATTAAAATGTGATTAGCAGACAGAGGTGTGCCAAATTAATTATTTTTCACCACAAAGTGAGAGCAAATATAAAATAATAAAACTGAAACATAATGAAACATAGTGAAAATAATATTTCTGTGGCATCTAGTGTAAGTTTTTGATGAAACTGTTTTATTCATATGAGGAGGATATGGACTTTTCTCATTGTTTACTTTAGGAGGCTGGGTTGTAACACTGTATTATAACTAACCCTGTTATGTGAATTATTTTGTGACTTATATGCACAACTCAGTAATCAAAACTTTTATGGCACAAAAAAGTATGAAATACTTGTTTCATTGCTATCAACGTTTGCAGATGATGTTCTTATGAGATTACAAGAACAAGATTAAAAGCATGCTCTACTAGAACCTGTTTAATTATATACCCATGTTACATTTTACTCCACCTTGGTGCCCCAACCTAAATATGCTCTCCCTTTATGTAGATGTTTAGTCCTCTTTATATCATTTCCTTTGTGTGTGGTGAAGTTTATACATGTTCACTTTAAGGGATACAAAAAGGTATAAAAAGTGCTCTTGAGGATGGAACTCGATTTTCTTTTGTATACAATCAGCGCCCTCTGCTGGGTGACAGTGGAGTTAAAAAATCACCCTCACAGTAGACTAATGTATTGATGTAATGGCTCTCGATCCTAGTCCTAAAGGACCACTACCCTGCTCAGTTAAAAAGGTGAACTGGGTATGTTGGAGCAGGGAGAACACCACAGTATGCAAGGCAGTAGTACTCCAAGACCAGGATTGAGACCCAGTTTGTAGGGAAGGATGGGTTCACCTTTACATTCTTGGATTCTGTCAGTGTTTCTCCCTCAAGCTCTTAGGTTTTGGGTCTTGGTTCCTCTCTGTCTTTCTTTTGCACACTCTTGGGGAGTTTTTCCATTTTGAGTCTTGGTTCCTCCTTATGTTTCTTCCTCATGTTTCATCTGTATGCTCTAAGGGAGTTTCTTCTTTTGTATCTTCGTTCCTCTCCATGGTTCCTCCTCGTACTCTTAGGGAGTTTCTCTGTTAGAGTCCTAGTTCCTGTAAGTGTTTCTCCATCATGGTTTTAGGGAGCTTTTCCTTTTGAGCCTGGCTTTCTCTCAGTGTTTAATGCTCCTAGGGATCTGCTTCTTTTGAGTCTTGGTTCCTCTCACCATATCTATGTCATATATATAGGGGGGGGTATGCTTTGTATGCTGGAAAAGTACGATCACATCTCCTCTGGTCACACTGGGGAAACATATTACTGAAAAGTGTCAACGGAATCAAAGTTTATCCATATGATGATATGACACATGTAAATGCAAGGTATAAACAGGCTCTTGCTTCCTCTCAGTGTTTCTTCCTCATGGTTTTAAAGATTTTGTCCTTTTGAATTTTGGTTCCTCTCAGCATTTCTTCCTAAAGCTCTTGAGGTTTTTCCTTTTGGGTCTTGATGTTTTTTTCCACATGCACTTACGGAGTAAGTCTCCCTCAGCAACACTCATTAGATGGCTCAACCCACATTTCTGCTTTAGGGCCATGTCTGTTGTACAGAGCGCCAGTAAAACTGAATTGATTATCTATTGTGGCAGCTGCCACTTACAGAAGGGGCCTTTAGAGACGTGCTATGCAAAGAGTTTCCGGCTGTATTTCCGTGGCCTTTACTGTCTTGTTCAATAGAAAGAGCATTTCCAAAGCAGAAATTGTGGCCTCTGGTTCTCCTCTGTCAAGATGCCAAACTATTTTACAAAAACAGTAAACACGTATTAAAGACGAATATTCGAGTGTAGAATAATCAATTGTTAATAATTAATAGTTAATATCTAAACTAATATAAACGATACTCGCTATCAAAGCGTTCATTTAAGTACATAAACTACTAAAAACTACAAATCCCATCAAGCTATGCGCCACATCCGCGGCGCCGGACCCGTGTTTACTTCCGGATTTCCTGTATATGGCAGAGCTCTTTAGCGGCGGCAGTAGCTCTCACTGCAACCTTAAAAAGGACCTCAAAACCACCGAAACACGGCATCCACGACCTTTGCCGCTCCTTGGGGATGATTTTTGGATGACCGAAGAGTCGTCTCGAGCTCAGACGACGGCTCAGGACCACCTCTGACGGGAGAAAGTGGGTGAAAAAAACACAAATCCTCCCGCTTTACCCTCCTGGCAAAAACGGCAAAGTCAATGCGGCGCTTGAGGACTCGGCTGCAGCTCCGTCACCTCTCACTCTCTGCTGGTCACATTTAACTTCAACAGCAAGGAACACGGCACTTGGGCAGCCTTTGGAGCCGACGAACGACCTTTTCTGGCCGAGACGGAGGCAGACAGCTGGCCCGGGCTGAGATAAGATAAAAGAAGAGGGGGAAGGCCAGCTCTCCGTTGGGTTTCACCCCTTTTTCAGCCTTTTCAGCCACTATGGATTGGCTTATGGGGTGAGTGCTGGCATTGCCGTTCAAATTATGTCTTCAGAAATGACAAACAGCAGCCTTTTCTTTCTGCCATGAGCTCTAAATGCTTCATACTCCAGCCGAAGTTCGTACGAGGCTTGTGCAGCTAACCTGTCCAGGCTTATCTGGTGTGTCTGGTGTAGTTGTGCACAAACTCCACCAGAAAAGCAGCGTTTATGTACAGGTTTGGCTCCCCAAATGTTGGCTGGGATGCAGAGGCGAGTTTCAGCGTCCCACATTGGCGAGGCTGCCTTTACTATTTATAGTAGAGATCTCTGGGCTCTTTCTCTGGGTGTGTGTGTGTGTGTGTGTGTGTGTGTGTGTGTGTGTGTGTGTGTGTGTGTGCACTGCTGGGCACAGCTTTTTCAGCTTTTTGTCCTGAATTTGCAAACTGAGGTGGATTGAGAGTGTGGAGCTACCACGTGTTGTACTCCCTGTTACAATGGCTGGCAAAGTTGGTACAGATACATAATTCTGGCACATATAGGCTGTGAGAGGGAATTTTGTTGATCATCTTAATAGGCATGATGCAACTCGACAGCGTTTAAGCTTGGGAAAAATGGAAAGCAGAAATAGTGCAGCATGATTCTGGGTGAGGTTTTAACCCATGTGTCAACACAGTCTTTGACCTCAAACAACTCTATTTAACTCTATTTTTGTTACCACCGTATACGGTTTGTCTGCAGTACAGTCTTAAAAGTAGGGTTCTGCCTGGGTACCTGCAGGCTGATGATGAGGCAGTGAAGGCCTTCCTCTGATCAGGTGGGGATTGAAAACAATATACAGAAAAGAACACTTTTCTCAGCTGCCTTAAGTTAAAACTATCCTTTTCCTGAATTTAATTTATTTCCTGAGGTCTTTTTATGACATTTATGTGATTTTATGCACCAAAAGGTCATAATTCATTCTTCATGATTTCCAACCTCTCTTTAGAATGAAACAGACTGTTTTTATTACTGTGTCTTTCAAATTAATATATGTAACAGAGGTCTGCTCTGATTGGCTGCCTTGTATTTTGCCCTCTTTTCAACACTCTTTATAACATCAGCATGTGTGGGCGGGGCTAAGCTGCAGTAGGCCGAATAGGCTGATATATGTAAATGTTGTTGTTGTTGTTGTTGTTGTTGTGTTGTTGTCACCAAAAATGAGCTGTTTCTGTATATACTGGGATGTGATCAGTAAATTTTGTTACTTTAACAGTGTTTATATGCTACATGAAGCTCTTTTATTACAAAAAAGTGAGGAAAGTTCAGTGATCCTTTTAAATTTTTAATCCAAAGTTTCTGACACTAGTATTGTTGCATTCATTATACACTACATTTACTCATATTTGCTTCTGTATTCACATTGCATCTCTTCTACACTGAGGTTTGTAATGGTTTAAAATTGAGCTGGACTGATGTAACCCAACAACAATGGGAATACTTCACATGCTTTTTACGTATTACAGTCGTCAGATGTTAGATGTGAAGACTGGAGCTGCATGTCTGAAGGTGCATGTAGCCTATTCATGCAAAAGAATGTCAGATTTGGGCCTCCATGTCTCTGCTCTAAATAGATGAGAGATAGGCCTACACAGGAACTCACTGAAGCACTTTTTTGAGGTTAAATGCATGCACTTTCTGTTTTGCAGTAACACTGATGAGCAGATCATGTTTTTTTAAATTTAAATGAAATATACTTTCAAAAATAACCATGAAGATGCAGCTTTCTGCCCTTCTCCAGACATTGTCCCTCATGCTTATCTTGATCTACAGTCATACTGTTTGCCTTATGTGACTCTCCCCATATACACCCTGGTGAAGTCTGTTTCTTTCCCAGTTATTGCTGCCCAGGCTGCTGCAAGCAGCAGCGTCCACTCTGAGTCACCTGCAGACTCACCAGGACTCACCTCTGACGCAATCAGGCTGCCCAGGGGAGCAGCTGTAAGCCCGTTCAGCATGCTCGCTTCTATTTGTGTTTAGTAAGTACTGTTTAGGTGGCAATGAAGAGCAAGTTCTATCGAGATAAGTGGAGCTGCAGTGCAAGTTCTGCAGTAATTAGGGTGAGGGATGAGCTGCTCTCATGGCACTTCCTTTTCTTTGTGAGAGTGGTTTGAGGGGAAAATGGTTGAGAACTGATGCGTGGGGTGCTCCGAGATGTTTTGATGGAAATGAACTGAAACAATAGTGTAGAACTCTTGGTTATGAAATGGAAAGGCACAGGAGGCAGGTGTGGCTTAACGCAGCGTTGTCACATTTTCTTTTTCAAATCACCTTAGAAACTGCGCTTTATTTAAGGATTACAAAATAAAACGACTGCATACGAAACCACATACTGAAAAGTATGCAAAAAATGGTACACCACCAAGTCCAATCATGTAGTGTAGTATGTGTAGTATAATAGTAGCTTTGGATGCAGCTTATGTATATTTGGTGCTCAGACTTTTCAGTGTCAGGCTCTGTATCGTGGGTCCTCTCTCTCTAGTCTCTGACAGCCTACTGATTGAAAAATGCACATTAGCAGGCCGCCTTTAACCACACACAGGTGCAGACCATTATTGATTATCTGCTTGTTCGCACAGCCCGCCTCTCCATCCTCTAGCCGATGCTCAATCGCACCCCTGCTGACACAAAGAGGATCGTCAGATTATTCTTTTCTTGGCTTTTCAATGTCACCTTTTCACCCTGATGCTTACCTATGTCAGGACAATTGGTCATCCCCAGTGGGCTAACAGGGAATTCCACTGATTTTGAACATTTATGTTCAAAAAGTTCAGTCATTGAGATGTAAACCAAGTCCTTCAGAATGTTTTGATGTGAAGTAGTTTGTAAAGAAAGGTGGTTTTACAGGTGTGGTGATAAGAAACAGGGGTTGCAATGTCTACAGTGCAAATATTGTTATTTGATTTGCTACTAAAATGACTAGTAAACCTTTCCTTTTTTCTTTTTACACAGTTTTTATATGTAACATTTGGAAAGGCTTTTCCTTTGACACATCGTTGCATGTATCTCTCTGCCAAAATTTGTTTTATGCCAAACTTTATCAGAAAACTAGAATAAAATGTCTCAGGCAGCATGTGTAGGACCATTTCATGTAATTTATGTAAGGTAGCTTTTATAGGCAGTAAATGCTTCAGATGTCTGGTCCCTGTGTTTACATGATGTTTGCATGATTGAAGTGGAGTAAATCCAGCTTTTTTGCCTAAATGTGAACACACAAAAATCTGACCTTTTTTCAGATCATGTTTGTGCCGTTTTTGTAAGGTAGTTCTTAGTCAGATTGATATTCAATACATGGGTATGTTAACATTTTTTGCATCATACTTCACCCCCGTGTCACTGTAGTCATCATTTGTTGTGGACAGTGGTTTAGCAATGGCCAACTTGAAAAAAAATGTGCACATGCTGGTCCTTTCAGGACAGAGGTGTGGCCGATATGGGTCACTTGCCTGCACAAATGTGAACCAGCAGGACAGAGAGATCAGACCTGAACATTCTCCAGATCCTTCTTCTGTTCTAAGAACTGGAAGATTAGACTTGGATTGCTACCAGCGTGGATGCAGTGTTTGGTCTGATTTGAGAAAAGCAGAGAGAGACATGAGCCTACATATGCTGGAGGTGTGTTCATGCAGGGCAGGTCCATGACCTCGTTCTGCTCTGATGAGAGACTGTTTTTACAGTGAGGCCTGCCAGCTGACAGCTTTGACCAGTAACGGTTAAATAAAGAGCCTCAGATTGGCCATGCGTAACGAAGAGAGAGAGAAGGCGAGAGAGGAGGGAAGGGCCAAAGTACCCAATTTCACCGCCTTCGTCTCCCTCACACTTGGGTTTTTCTGTCTTCTGAACACAAAGCATGAACATACAGTATAACCTTCAGTCTGGACTTTAAAGTCACAGCATTGTAATTTAACTCATTGTCTATTTATAGAAAATGGAACCAGCTGAGTGATCACTCTTAGGTCAGCATGCTGTGTGTTTGGTGTTAAATTGGCAGCGGGCAGGGCAGTTAGAAGACTGGCTAAAGGTCACGGCTCAGGAGATGCAGTAGGTAATCAAAATCTGTAAGCTTTGCTTGTGTAAGGATGCAGATATGTAAGAACATGTGCACTAGTGCTGTCACTGTTGAGTATATTAGGAATCAAGGGAGCTGCTGATTTTGTTGATTACTCAAGTAGTCCAGAGTTTTTATAAGACAAAATAAAAATAAAAGGCTGTTAATTTGGGATATAAATGCCAAATCTTGGTCAAAACATGAAAAAAAACCCTCTTCTACAGTAAAGCTATGGGATTCTAGTAGTAGCACTAAGCTAATGGCGATTTGCATGGGTGTGTTTGGGCCATTCTAGATTAAGCGCAGACCTCGAAGCTTCTGAAAGACATTCTGTGTTTAACTTAAGCTTTTGACAGACATTAGCATACATATTTTAAACTGAAGTAGTTTGACAGTGACTCTAAGTAGAAAGGCTGGTGTAGAGCTGCCGCCACTGTTTTTAGTTTTTATCAGCCCGTTGACTAAGCTACTGCTTGTATTCAGTCAAAGGCACATTAAGGAAACATCTAGGACATGTATTTTATTTTTTAGTTCTCAGAAATCATTAAAGCCTAGAGGGCCCTGAGGGTTCCCCTTGGACCCCCCTTTCAGAAATTTCAAGATATGAACAAAAAAAAAAAAGAAAAATGTGGCAAAATGCATATTAATGTGTTATTTTTTAAACCAGTAGAATTTAAATAGAAAATAGACAAATAGAAGAGTCATGGCTGCTGTAGCTAATTCTGTTAGGAGTTTGTTAAAGTTAATCTGGCATGTTTTCGACATGCCCGCTTCTCTCTTGTAGTGGTTAAGGTTTACATGTGGGCTTTAATTACTGATCGTAGATTAGGACGACAGAGAAACCCTAAATATTCAGTCCGGCCTGAAGTCCTCGAAGACACCTGATCAGAGCATGTCATTGGTGTCTGGCTCCAGGAAGTGTCTGTTAATCCAGAGCAGTTATCTGGCTGAAC